TTATAAAGAAACTATCATTCTGGGGGCACCTGGGTGGCTCAGTTGTTAAGCGTCTGCCTTTGGCTCAGGTCATGATCCCAGCGTCCTGGGATCGAGCCCCACATCGGGCTCCCTGCTCCACGGGAAGCCTGCTTCTCCCCCTCTCCCCCTCGCTCCCCCTGCTTGTGTTCCCTCTCTCGCTGTGTCTCTTTCTGTCAAATAAATAAAATCTTAAAAAAAAAAAACTATCATTCTGTGTTCTTCTAGCTTTCATTGCTATTTTTGAAAAGTCTGCTGTCAATCTACAGTAGCTTATTTAAAGGTACCCTTTCATTGGCTGCTTTTAAGATTTTCTCTTTGTCTAGGGGCACCTGGGTGGCTCAGTCGGTTAAGCATCTGCCTTCAGCTCAGGTCGTGATCCCAGAGTCCTGGGATCGAGCCCCGCATTGGGCTCCCTGCTCAGTGGGGAGTCTGCTTCTCCCTCTCCCTCTGACTGCCGCTCTGCCTACTTGTGCTTTCTATCAAATAAATAAATCTTTAAAAAAAAAAAAGATTTTCTTTTTGTCTTTGATTTTTTGAAGTTTTACCGTGATGTGTCCAGGTATGGACTTTTCCCCATATATATATATATATATATATCTGCTTGGAGTTGATTGGATAGCTTGAATTCATGGATTGGTATCTTTTATAAGTTCTGAAAAATTTGTCATTTTCTCTTCACATAATGTCTTTGAATCATTTTTCTTTTTTTCTTCTGAAACACAGAAAGATACATTTAGATTTTTTTTTTTTTTTGCCCTCTGTGCCTTTTAATCTTTCATTTTCTATTCCCTCCACCTCATTTTTAAACTTACTTATTTTTCAGTACTAGTCTGCTATTTTTCTGGGTCAGTTTGCTGTTAAACTAGTCCCTTAAAATTGTTAAATCAAGATACTTGTAGTCTCAGAGGGAAAACAGACATGAAAATAGATCATTGTAATACTGTGTAATGTATATTTCAATGGAGGGAAGAAAATATACTTTGAAGACATTGTTAGAAAGGGCATCTAATCAGCTTGGGGGGTGGTTAGGGAAGAAAAAGGTAATGCCTAAGCTGAGTTAACAATGGTATGGAGGAAGACAAGTACATTGCATTTTGGGGGATAGAAAAATATTTTTTTAAAACAAACATTGAATTTGATAAAAAGCAGTAATGGAAAGTTAGCTAACTTCAGCATAAAGCTTTTAATGCCTAGCTATGAAAGTGGGACTTTATTTGGGACCTTTTTGATCTAATATATAAACATATTAAAACCTTGTTATTGAATTTTGTATAACAGATTATATTTCAAATTGTATGATAACGTTTAGATGGTTAGAAGTACAAATAATTCCTGTAATCCCAAACTGGTTTGGTAGTAATAGCAAATAGATACAGCAGATGGAGATTTGACATGAGTCTTAATCATGGGGTATAGTTTTTTAAAGTGGCAAAGTATATACCTAATAGATTCAACATTTGATCTTCTTAGAGTGGAAAAATAAACTTACAGAATTTTTTAAAATTTCCTTTTTGAAAGACGAGAACATTAATAGGGAGTTCCGGCTATACCCCTGTTTTAAAATATGTTTTACCATGAAGAAAAGGGTTTAACAAATATACTGGCAACCATTTATTTTATAATGCTGTAATTTACCATAACCTATAAGAAAGGAAACTGGAGAGAAGAAAAGTAGTTTGTTAAAAGGAAAAATAGGTGAAATCTGAGGGGACATCAGAGTGTTTCTCTGATTTCTAAATGAGTAAAAAAGTGGGCTTTATAAAACCAGACATATCTAAGGTTAAATTTCTGCTTTGGTGTACACTTTTGTGACTTGCAAATTACTTGATCTTTGTAAGTTTTACTTGTTTTTATTTGTAAAGTGAAGTTATATTACAAACCTTTGTGAGTTCCTTTGAAGATTAAATGAGCAGAAATACCAGCTATTTAACTGTGCCCTGACATGTAATTTTATTGAATCTTAAACATTGGCCTAAGCACTATACAGGCTTTATCTTCACAAGAACCCCTAATTTGTGGCTGAGGAAACTGCAACACAGAGATGTGAAGTAAGTATACGATCAAAACCACACCAATTAGCAGTAGCCACAGGATTTTAACCCAGGCATTCTGACCTCCAGAGCCCAGACTCTTAATCATTATGTTATTTCTTATGTTCTTATAATCCTTATTAAAACTGAGGACATACTTTTCCTAAAAATAGTGTTAGATTTTATAATATTATTACAAATTCACAGACTATTAGAATCAGTGTATCTTTCAATGTCTTAGTACGGCCTGTTTTAATGTGCAAGAATTTCTTACATAGCTTCTTTAACAGTTTATAATCTAGCTCTTGTGTAAATGCTTCCAGAGACAAGGGATTTTCTTACATTTTAAGGAATCTATTTCATTGTTAGATAACTTAAAATGTAAGGAATTTCTCTCTATTCTGTGATAAAAATTTTTATCCTCACTACCTTTATCTGTTTGTTCTAATTCTTTGCCCTGTGGGGAAATAGTAAGTAAATAGACAAATATTTAAATATTTAGGCAAGAATCCTTTCTCTTTCTCACCCTAGGCTAAACATGATCAGCTGTTTTACAGAAAACACATTTCCATACTTTTCTCAACTGAGAGCCTTCTGTGAATGCATCCCAGTTCTTTTTTTTTTAAATGTGCTTACTATAAATTAACTTTATATGCCAAATTTTATGTGACTTCAATTTCTTACAAGAGTCTTGTATCATTTATGTTAAAAGGAAGGAAGGAAGGAAGGAAATCTTAACTGTTCACAGATCTGAATCGACCTAACTTTTTAGTCATTACTGTGATCTGCAGTTCATTTATGGACTCAACAGGAGATATATGCTTACACTTCATACAATGACTACTCCTAGTTAATGTTTATTAAATATTTACTATGCACCACGCCCTTTTCTAAGCTCTTTACACGTAATTTTTAAATCGCAATAACCCTGTGAGCTTGATGCTATTTTTACTGTTTAACAATAACAACAATGAGGCACAGAGCTGTTAAGTAGCTTATCCCCTATTATATGGTTTGTACTAAATCTCAGTTCCAAAACTGAGATTCAGACGTAGGTACTCTTAACCACTATGGTACATATGTCTTAGTTCAGGCTGCTTCAACAAAGTACCATATATTGGGTGGTTTAAATAACAGACATTTATTTCTCACAGTTCTGGAGGCTGGGAACTCTGAGATCAAGGTGCCAGCAGGGTCAGAGTTCTGGTAATGGGCTTCTTCCTGGTTTGCAGACAGCGTCTTTTCTGTGTATCCTTACATGACAGAGAGAGACCATCCTCATGATCTAAATACCTCCCAGAGGTCTCACCTCCAGTACCATCACATTATGGTTTCAACGTATGCATTTGGGGGGACATAAACATTCTGTCCATAACAATATGTTAAGTAGTTCATTTGTGAGCCTGATCTGGAAAGTTGTCTATACTTAATATTAGGGTTTTTAAAATAAGAATATGTCACCTATAAAATCAGCTTTTGGAGCAGCTTATTATAATGTGGGGAATTCAGTTACGATAGAAACCTTTTTTGAATTTGAATCTCAGCTAGTAACTGTGACTTTGCCTGTTTCCTGATGTGTAAAATGTGGATAATATCTGTCTCAAGATGTTATTTTAAGGATTAATATGCATACATATACATATTTGTGTGTGTGTAATTATACTGTTACATATGTAAGTATGCATACATGCAGAGTCTAGTATAGTTGTTTACACGGTTTTTAAATGGTAAAAAGGCAGCATAGCACGGCAATTAACAAGGTAGACTTTGGTTTGGAACTGACTTGCTAGATATATGACCTTGGGCCAGTTTCTTAACCACTCTGTGCCCTAGTTTTCTTTTTCTATAATATGGGTGCAGTGCTCATTATAGGACTGTTTATGAGGATTGATGAGTTTATAGAGCACTTACATCAAGACTTACACTTTGCAACATAGTATGTAAATGATAAAATGGTATTTTATATCTGTAACTAGCATAGCACCTGTATTTTTGCAAGTTAATTAACAAATTATGTTGAATTGTTTTTAAACTCATCAGTTTTTTTAAAGGAATATAAAGCCAAATGTAAAACAGTCATTAAAATCAGTTGGTCATACCATCTTTTATTGCACTTAACCCTTAAGCACAAAGGTTAAGTAACTTTCAGTTTAGACAATTTTCCAGTGATTGCCAAGTTACTTATAACTAAACCAGGTCTAGTACCCTAGTCTTCTAAGTTGTTCTTTTTTATAAGCAAGGGACCTAGGGTAGAAAACACAAAATGATGAACTTCGATATGAATAATTTTAGTTATACGGTAAAATTAGTAGAAGTATTTTAACAATAATGGATTACCCAAAATAATTAGAAGATTCTGTTCAAAGTTTTTGTTTTTATTTTAAAATAGACTTGAAGTTTTAGATATCCCCCATCAGCAATGTGGTATCAATCAGTATCCTTGAAACACTTTCCACTGTGACTGAACATCCTCCTAGTAGAAAACAAATGTGAAATCCTTTATGTGTATGTTTAGGTTATTACTATAAAGAATGCTGACATTATATTAGTTCTGTTTACAAAGATTTACTTTAGAAGAATCTGTATAATGTTTAAATATGCTTTCTTCTTTAACCAGTCATGTAGTAAGTAGAGGTTTTAGTTCAGTTGTTGAATAGACAAGTCAAATTATTTAATTTAATTTAAATATAATAGTGTTGGGAAAACTTGGGGCAATGATCTAATTCAGTTTCAGACTCGGTGTATCCCTGGCAGATGATCCTGCAATTCTCCTTGAACATTTTTTTGGCTTGAATTCTTGTATTATCTGTAAGCATAAGGAGATTCCATTTAGGTGACTTTAAGCTCATTTCAAACCTTATAATTCTTTATTCTTTGAGAATATTAACTTTTAATTTTAAGCAGCAATTGGTCCTAGTAAGTAATTTTAACATACTATTTAATTTACAGATTGCCCAAGGACTCCAGATACTCCCAGCAGTGACCCTCGTTGTTCCACTAGCAATAATAGATTGATGGCCTTACAAAAACAATTGGATATAGAACTTAAAGTAAAACAAGGTGCAGAGAACATGATACAGATGTATTCAAATGGATCTTCAAAGGTAAGTACTATAAATATATGTGTATACAGTCAATCCTCATTATTTGCAGATTCCGTATGTGTGAATTCACCTATCTGATAAAATTTATTTGTAAACCCAACATCAATACTTTTGGCACTTTCACGGTCATTCGTGGATATGCACAGAGGGCTAAAAAATGTGAGTCATCTGTTGTGCATGCTCACAGCTGAGATCAAACAAGGTGCTCTACCTTCTTTAAGCTCTTATACTGTAAACAAGTATCCTTTTCATGGTCTGTGTATACCACAGTTTTTGCATTTTTATGCTTACTGTGATTTTGCTGTTTAAACACTGTATTACTAGGATTTCTAAGACCATTTTAGCCTCCAAATTTGAAAGTATTGACAATAAAACAAGTTAGAAACAAATAGTTTTTAAGGTAATATTTTTAGGGGCACCTGGGTAGTTCAGTTGGTTAAGCATCTGCCTTCAGCTCAGGTCATGATCTCAGGGTCCTGGAATCAAGTCCCACATCAGGCTCCTTGCTCAGGAGGAAGCCTGCTTCTCCCTCTGCCTGCTGCTCCCACTGCTTGTGAGCTCTCTCTCTCTCTCGCTGACAAATATATAAATAAAATCATTTTTTTTTAAATTGCTTACTCCTACCAAAACCAATCAAGAAAAAATTTAGCTATATGAGTAAAGGGTAGACAGGAACTTTCCATATTTGCAACTTTCCTGTGAATCTAAAATTGTTCTAAAACAAAAAGGTTATTTTTAAAAAATTTAGACTCTAGTAAGTTTTCCATCACTATAGCAAATGGAAAGACAGGACATTCTAGTGGTAGTGATTGTTTGGAGTAGAGCTGTGGGTTCTTGGGGAATCTGGAATGGGCATATAATTCCTAATTGAAAATCATTTTATGGGAAGCAGTTGTTACTAATAGGAATGTGTCCTTGTTCTGTGGTATAATGTAGAAGAGAAAATGTTGGGAACCACTGAACCAGATTGTTTTAAAGGTTCTTTCCAATCTAAGGTTCTATAATTTCCCAAAAGTCCTAGAAAGGTGGACTTATACAAAATTTACCTTGGTATTCTCAACTAATTTAAAGATCTTGCCTTTGCAAATTAATGTTTCTTTCATATTTTGATAGATTTTCCCTAATATCAGAATAAAAGTTATTGGGTTGTGTTTTGATTTTGTTTTGTTTTATTTAAGAATTTGAAATAGGGGGCAGGGGTAGAATTTTAACTTGGAGCTATGCACCCTGCCTACCCACCCAAAGAAATTTGGGAAGATACTGAAAAGAGAGACGTGTATATGTTAATAAGATTTTTTAAGCTTAATAATGAAAATTAGATTATATGCCATATTTCAAATGAATTTTTAAATTATTTTTAGAGACCTGTATTTGTTTTTACTTGATATATTGTTTATATGATATTTAATAGCATATTTTATTCACTTTGAACACTCATGGGGTGGTAGACTTTTTTTCTGTGTTACTATTTTTAGTGTTGACTTAGTTTTGAACATATTTCATTTTTATCAAATGTTATTTTGGACTTTTTTTGTTTCAAGGCAAATACTATGTTTTGGAACTGTGAATGCATCATATTATGCTGGGTGTTTTAAAATTAAATTTATTCGGGAGCACGTGGGTGGTGTAGTTGGTTGCGCCACTGACTCTTGGTTTTGGCTCAGGTCCTAAGAGCAGGGTCTGCTTGGGACTCTCCCTCTCCCTCTCTCTCTCTGCACATTCTCTCACTTGCTCACTCTCTTAAATAAATAAATCTTTTAAAAAATTAAATTTATCCAGCTACCACCCTCTGGAGTAATTTTTTTAAATACAGTAAATGGATTAGATTGAGAGGTTTATGAACCCCTTGAAGTTAAAGAAAAAGTGAATGTGTATGTTGATAGACGGATGAATGAGAAGGCCATAGGTTTCACTGTATTCTCAAAATGGTCTGTAATTGCCCCTACTCCACCCCCAGTTTGAATAGGTTTATGGAAATATTAAAAGTAAAACAGATAACTTAAGATAACCACAGGTCCAAAATGAACAGAACTGTGAGCATCCTACTAAAACAAGAGATGATTTTCCAATAGCCTTTTATTTTTTTAAGATTTATTTATTTATTTGAGTGAGAGAGTGAGTGGGGGTAGGGCAGAGGGAGAGAGAAACTTTAACAGACTCCGCTTAGCGTGGAGCCCAATGCGGGGCTCAGTCCCACGACTCTGAAATCACAATCTGAGCCGAAGCCAAGAGTCGTATGCTCAACCGACTGTGCCACCCAGGCACCCCAGTAGGTTTTTACTTTTAATAAGGGGATTAATTTGAGAAGGGGTCAGGTAGAGATCCAGCTGCTACAGTCTCTGAGGTAGACCTGCTAGTTATTTCTGTCTAGATTTGGTCTTGTTTTCATTTCGCATCTTTAAACCTCTCATTGGGTCAAAGTGTACCTCTATGAGATTAGGGAAAATTGTAAATTGAAGTTATGTGGAATATTAATTAATTTGTTAAGGACTTAACAGTAAATTTTGATGGGCTCTGAAGTATAAATGTAATAAAGTTAATGCCTTATAACATAATAGGTACTTAACAAATAATATCCCACTTTCAAAAGCTCCACTATCCAAAAAGAGGTATATGTAAATAATTACAATATATAATAGAGGTATGTTCAAGTTACTTTAGAAACCGTGGATAAGAGGGGTGCCTGAGTGGCTCAATCGGTTGGGCATCTGCCTTTGGCTTAGGTCATGATCCCAAGGTCCTGGGATCAAACCCCGCATCAGGCTCCCTGCTCTGTGGAAAGCCTGCTTCTCCTCTGCCTGCCACTCTGCCTGCTTGTCCTCTCTATCTCTCTGTCAAATAAATAAAATCTTAAAAAAAAAAAAAAAGAAACAGTGGATAAGAATCATTTAACTGCCAGAAGAAATCATTACTTAATATGAAATTTGAAGGATGATTTGGCATTTAAAAGGGAATTACTTTCTAGGGAAGACGATGTGGGTAAACACAGCAGATACAGAATAAGGAACTGTTGAATAGGGAATGGAAGTGCTTCTGTGTGACTGTAGCAGAAACTCTCAATTTATTTCTTATCCAATATATCTGAGGTAGGTAGAATACACTTTTAACAGTTGCAGTCATCTTCAGTGGAAGGCCATGCCCTCATGGGTGAGCAAATCTCAATCTCCAGAAAAGCACGTTTATTTTTGGGAAAAGTCTTCCAGGTGATTCCAACAAGACTTTTTTTTTTTTTTTTTTCTGTTCCCCACCAGTAGAGCTTTGAGTGATTTATAGTGAGAGGTATAGCATAATTGAAAGACAAACCAGATTATAAAGTACTTTGGACAAAATTAAGCAGTTAAGATCCTATCTTATGAGATACATGGAGCTACTGAAAGACTTTTAGCAGAGTAAATACATGATCAAATTTAAAGTTTAGAAAGTTCACATTCATCTTTCTCAGACTTGAAGAATTAATTAGAGAAGGGTCAGATATATAGGCAGCAAGTTTAAGTAGGCTTTTGTAGGAGTCCAGGTTAAACATGCTTCATTCCTCTTGTAACACAGTGAAAGCAAAGAAGGCAGAGTCAAGCTATTTAGGTAGCATAAATATATGGTGTCTTGATATGGGGGAGAAGGCTGAGTCAAAGATGATTCTTAGGTTGGTTGTGTAGGCATATTGGTGAATGGTGGTGCTCTTCACAAGGATAGGTAATTCACGATGGAGAGCAATTTAGGGACAGGGGTAATGAGTTCAGTTTGGTGGTAAAAATCATCTTCAGGACTCTGGTTATTGGATTCTGTATGACAAAATTACTACCCCAAACACATCATAGCCAGAGTTGTCCTTTTAAAAGCCAAGTCAGATATTTTCACACTCTTGTTTCAGAACCTCCCGTTGGCTTTCTGGCATGCTTAGAGCAAAATCCAGAGTCCTTATTGTGGCTCTGCAAGTTCATACATGACTTACCCTGGCTACCTTCTGATTTCATCCTTTAAAACACTTTTATTCTCTCTCATCACACTCTAGCTATATCAGCTTTTTTGCTATCTTTTGAACATACCAAGCACAATCTTACCTCAGAGACTTTGCATTTACTGTGTCTCTGCCTAGATGTCTCTTCTCTCAAGTACTTTTCATGCGGCTTTTTCTCTCACTTCTTTATAGTCACTTCAGCAAGCTCTTTACTACTATCCTGTGTAAAATATCAGCCCCCCCATCTCTCCTTATCTCTTTCATTGCATACTACTACCAGAAATTATAATTTACACAATTTCTTTATCATCTTTATCAACATTAGAATGTAAATTTCATGGCTCTAAGTAGCACCATTGGTTTTCAGAATAATCTGAGGGCTTCATAAGCCATGTCGAAGAGATGTTTTCCATTGATGTTTGCAGATGAAAAACTAAGCTATTTATTAAAATATGGGGTTCTTTTTAACCTCTTTAAATGCACCCAGGTCTTTTCAGACCTTTTTCTCATTTGAAAGTATCTAACCATCTATCCCAGCCTCACTGTCCTCAATATTCTAGTCTTGATATAGTCCAATTTCATCTGTATTAACAGCCCATAAAACCTTTCTGGATTCCCTCAGCTAAAATTGATCCCATCTTGCTTTGATTTTCTTTGGCTACTTTAAACATTCTGATACATAAAATAATTATTTGTATCTCTTCAATAAAATTATAGGTTTTTAAAGGTAGCATCCTAACTGATTAATCTTTGTATTTTCATTGGATGTGACCACATTTAATACATGTAAAGTAAGCCATAAATATGTGATGGAAAAATAAAGATAATGATTGGTTTATTTATTTCTGAAATCCATGTGTGATGTAGTTTGTTATAATGGTCCCACTAGACTTGCAAAACAATAATGATTACTTTTTATAAAACAAAATATTATATAATTGGAAAAAATTGTAAATTTTTTAACTTATAATTTAAAAATATTGTACATTCAAAATATAACAGGCATTGTACAGGCATTGTAGAGTGCTGATTACCAATAGAACCATATGAAATTGCTATCTTTTTAGTTCCAAATTAGTCAGATATTGGCATTTTCATATGATTCAACCTAACATACATAAAAATCTTTCCAAAGCCTTAACATAAAAACCAGTATTTCTGTAATTCAAAACCAATTCATATACTTTAGACCTACCTGTCTCTTGCTTTGAATATATTAGGTGTTCAGTAAAAAATCCATTGCATTTCCTAGAAGTATAAAGCTGACCATAAAAATTTATTGAATGCTGGAAAGCATAAGACTGACATGTAGTAACTGTAAATTGCCTGTGACAGGTAATATCCATTGTCAGTTTTAAAAGCCTTCATCATACTTCAACATCTGTGCAGATATTTTAAAATGAACTAATGCTCTTCTTTGCATGTTGAATTGAAATAGTTAAGAATTTCCAAAAAAGTAAATGACAGAACTGCTGTCTTCTCACATGATGATAAAATAATAAAAGGAGTAGCTTAATTGAAAAGCATAGTATTATATAGTTTGCTTAATATTTATACATTTATACTAGGACTTCATTGAAATAAGATAAAATCATTTTTATTACTTTTTAAAAGAGAACATTTTAATGCCAATCAAGTTCTAGGCAATGTGATTTTAGTTTTATCTAATGCTTACAAATCTCCATGTTTTAGAGAGTGGTGTCTTCATTTACATAATTTCTGCAAGAAACCTAAAGCTTGTGGAAGATAGGTAACTAACCCAAGGTTAAAAATACAGTTAAGATTTGGCTCCCAGTCTATCTGATTGCAAAACATATTTGCCCCATTAAATTAGGAGCTTTGGAATACTAAGTTTTTCCTCCTCCGAGGAGGTCTCAAAGAAATAGAAAAGCTATTTCAAATCTTCAGTTTGTCTAATGTACCTAATACTGGAAAGGAAGAATTAAAGTAAAAATAAAGTATTTTCATTTTAAATTTGGAAGGTGAATAGGTATATTCTTAAAAGCATATATAATTAGTCATAGCCGAACACCAAACTCAAGTATTTTTAACGGTAAAGCAGAATTAACAAGTACTGTCTGTGTGTGTGTGTGTGTGTGTGTGTGTGTGTGTGTGTGTGTGTGTGTACATCATGGTGTAAATTGATATTTAAGAGAATTACAGTAACTCTATTGCCCAGCTCCTTTGGTGTAAAATCTAAATATTTAATAAAGAATGAAATCTGACTAGATCTTTCTTAAATTGACTGATCTTAGGAACAGGAAAGAAATGGAAGAAAAATACGAAAATAAATTTGCAAACTGCTTTTTCTCCTGCTGTATATTAACCAACCTAGTTTGGTATTTATCATAAAATATGTCAGCGCACTTTCTTTTTTTCTTATATCAGTATTGTCTCTCACCCCACATCTTCAGCCTCCCCTTTATTCAGTGTTATAATATACTGTGTGTTTTTATTGAAATGATGCTGCACACCTGATGCTTATTTCTTAGTTTCTAGGCTTGAACTCTTCCAGAAAATATAGGTTGATTGTATCCTGTTTTATTTCCAAATCAGTACTGACTGCCTTGGTGATAAAAGTAGAGATACTTAAATAATAAGCAAAAATTGGCCTTTCTTGTGAATAAATGTTTCCTAACTTGATGCATAGTTTTATCATTTCTTTTTTTGTGGATTGAAGACTACTAGACTTTGACAACTGATATAACTAAGCAGGAGATGGTAATTAACTTCTGTTCCTTGTTGACTATGAAATTTTTGGAAGAAATTGCTGTTTTAGTTTTCTATGGCTGCTGCAATAAATCATAAATTTAGTGGCTTAAAACAATGTAACTTTATTATTTTACAATTTTGTAATTGAGAAGTCTCATGGATCTCAGTGAGCTGAAATCAGGCATTGGCAGGGCTGCATTCCCTTCTGAAGGATGTAGAGGAGAATTTGTTTCCTTGCCCTTTCTAGCATCTAGAGGCTGCCCACATTTCTTGGCTTATGGCCCTCTTCTTCTCAGTCTTTGAAGTCTACAGCAATGGGTCCATTTCTTCTCACGTTACTCTGCCCTCCTTTTCTGCCTTCCTTCCACATTTAAGGAGCCTTGTGATTACTTTGGGTCCACCTGAATAATCCAGGAAATGATCTCTGTATTTTAAGGTTGGACGATTAACAACCTTAATTCCATCTGCTGTCTTAGTTCCCCTTTGCCATGTAAGGTAACATTTGCAAGGTTCTGGGATTAGGACATAGACATCTTTGGGTGGATCATAATTTAGCCGACCACAGTTCCAAAAATGGTAAGTTTTTCTTGACTCTCTGTCAGTAACGTTCATTGTTATTGACACTAAACTAAGCTATGATAGTGACATTATTTCATTTAATTCACCTTTCTTGAAGTTAAAAGAAATAGCAGAAGTTTACTCACTATAATTTCCTTCCTTGCTTTATTGAAAAGGTCTTATTTTTTGACATTCAAGAATTTCAAGAAACCTTTCTCATTATCTCACCAATGTTGACAAATGCTGTTTCTTGTTTCCTTTATCAGATTTAAAGGAACACAGATACCATCTAGGATTAGTTATTTTAAAAATTTGCCTACATATGTGAAACTCTGTAAGAGTTTGGGAGAGGAAGTGAGGCATCTATCTTGTCACAATGCCTCTGAGTATGAGAATTATTGACCATGGTATGGGAAAATTCTTTATATTTTGTGTAAAGCAGAAAAAGAAAAAGAGAAAATTACAAATGTGAATATGGAGTTTTTTTAAAACAATAAAATTCACTTGCTTTCTCTCAAATTATGGAGTTTTTCTCATTTATAGCACTATCAGTTTGGTGGCTTTTTAAAATAAATGTATCTACAAGTATATCTATTTATATTTAAAATAAGTATATCTACTTACAGTGTTCTTTTAACTGTTTTTCACTTGCTGATAATTATTTGATGTTACTTAGAAACTATGAAAATGTTTTATTTGTCTTTTCATCTGCTTACCTTTTCAAACTTATTTTAATAGGATCGGAAACTCCATGGCACAGCTCAGCAGTTGCTCCAGGACAGCAAGACAAAAATAGAAGTGATACGCATGCAGATTCTTCAGGCAGTCCAGACCAATGAATTGGCTTTTGATAATGGTGATGGAATAGAGATAAATTGTCATTCTTATTATTATGGGCATCGTGCTTAAATAAATGTTACGTAGGAGAGAAGCAATGGTTCAAAGTTAAGGTGGAGGAAGCATTATGTTTTTTGATCTTTAGTTTTTATCTTTTAGTTTTGATTGCTAAAATGGAAGGCTTTTTATTTCAACATTGTATCTATTAAGTATTACTTGAATGTTTATTGACTTAATAACTAACTTTTAAGTTGTAAGAAATCATTTCTTTTCATGAGTTTTAATTACTACATATGAGAATATCAAATAAATGAATGGTTCAATTGCATTTTTTTTCCCCCCTCTAGCAAAACCTGTCATAAGTCCTCTTGAACTTCGGATGGAAGAATTAAGGCATCATTTTAGGATAGAGTTTGCAGTAGCAGAAGGTGCAAAGAATGTAATGAAATTACTTGGCTCAGGAAAAGTAACAGACAGAAAAGCACTTTCAGAAGTAATTTTAAATAAATATTTTAACTTAATAAATACATTATTCAAAGAATGTAATTATTTAGATGACAGTTGTCTTTTCCCTATTCAAGGCCCAAGCAAGATTTAATGAATCAAGTCAGAAGTTGGACCTTTTAAAGTATTCATTAGAACAAAGATTAAATGAACTTCCCAAGAATCATCCCAAAAGCAGTATTATTATTGAGGAGCTTTCACTTGTTGCATCGCCAACACTAAGTCCACGTCAAAGTATGATATCTACACAAAACCAGTATAGTACACTATCCAAACCAGCAGCACTAACAGGTAGGTTGCATACATCTCCTAATTATTTTTGGTGTATTTTTTTGTGTGTATATCTGGTCCTGGGTTAATAAACGAATAAGAAAGTATGCACAGATTTTTAAAACATTGTGATAAAGTTATACATAACATAAAATTTATTATTTTAACTATTTTAAAATATACAATTCAGAAGTATTTATTTACAGTGTTGTGTAACCATCACCACTATGTAGTTCCAGAACATTTTCATCATCCTAAAAGGAAAACCCATTTTCATTAAGTAGTTACTCCCCATTCCCCCAGCCTCTGGCAACCACTATTGATTTTCTGTGTAGATTTGTCTGTTCTAGATATTTCCTATAAGTAGAATTATATAATTTGTGGCCCTCTGTGTCTGGCTTCTTTCACTTAGCGTTCTCAAGTTTTGTTCTTGTAGCATGTATCAGTATTCCATTCCTTTTTATGGTAAATAATATTCCATTGTATGGATATATACTGTTTTTTTAATCCATTCATCAATGGATGGATATTTGGGTTGTTTGGGTTATTTCCACCTTTTGACTATTGTGAATAGTGTTGTTATGAACATCTGTGTTCAGGTTTTGTTTTTTTTAACATCTCTTTTTCACTTATTTTGGGTATATATCCAGGAGTATAATTAGCAGGTCATGTGGTAATTTTGTGTTTATATTTTTGAGGAATGGTCAGACTTTTCATTTTATGTTCCCAAGAGCACACATCCATACCAGCACTTGTTTTGTTTTTTATTATTGCCATTCTAGTAGGTCCATTATTGGAAGTGGGTAGTGAAATCTCCAATTATTTTTTGTGCCTGTTTCTCCTTTTAATTATGTAATTGTTTGCTTCATGTATTTCTAGGCTCTGTTGTTAAGTACACATATGTTTGTAATTTTTTTATATCTTCTTGGTGGATTGACTCATCAAAATGTAAGGTCCTTTTGTCTCCTATAACAATTTTGGATTAAGAGTCTGTTTTGTCTGGTACTAGTATAGCCATCCCAGCTTTCTTTTCCTTATTACTATTTGCACTGAATATCTTTTTCTGTCCTTTCCATATTTAATCTCTTTGTGTCTTTGGATCTAAAATGGGTCCTTTTAGATAGCCTATAATCATGTTTTTTTAATCAGTTCTGCCAGTCTCTACCTTGTACTTTTAACAGTGTAATCCATGTATATTTAAGGTAATTACCTATGTGGCGATGCAATTCTGATGCTAATTACTTAGAGTTGGGTCAGATTTCATAAGTTAATAGCCCAGTCCCCCACAAGACTGCCCTCCTTTCCAACACAAGTTGTAAACTTGGAGTTTCCCCAACTATCCACACTTTTGACAAACTGGCTACAAATTCAGGGATTCCCACTACCACTTCAGGCTCAGTAATTTTGTAGAACAACTCAAAGAAGTCAGGAAAGCTCTGTGTTTACAATTACAGTTTTATTATTTATTATAAACATAAATTAGAAAAGACGCATAAGGAGAGGTCTGGGGGTCCCAAATGTGAAGCTTCCTAGTCCTCTGCATGTATCACCCTCTTAGCATATCAGTTTCTGTCATCAACCAGGAATCTCACTTTAGCTGTGAGTATCCACAGTTTTTATTGTGGCTTTATTATGTGGGGGTGACTGGTTAAATCATTCAGCCACTTGATTGAAAACAGTCTCTAGTCCCCACCCCTCTCTGAAGGTCAGGGGGTCAAGCTAATATTATATGGCACCAGCCCTCTAATCATATGGTTGCCTTTCTGGCATAACTAGCCCCCATCCAGAAACTGTGCAGGGGCCCATCATGAATCACTTTGTTAGTACAAACCCATCTGAGGTCTGAGGGGCCCACCATGAATAACGAAGACACTGCTATCACTGGGGAAATAACAGCGGTTTAAAGGCTCACTCCTAGGAGCCATGAACAAAACCAGCCAAATTCTTTATTATACAGCAAAAAGGCTTACTTCTACCATTTTGCTATTTGTTTTCTACAGGTCTTAATCTTTTTTTTTTCCCCTGAATTCTTCTGATACTGCTTTCTTTTCTTTGAATTTTTCTAGTTTACCTTTTTTATTCCCTTGTTTCCTTTTCTGTATATTTTTTAGTTTTCTTCTTAGTGGTTACCCTGGTGATTAATATCCTGAATTTATAAAAGTATTTACCACTTTACCATCAATAGCCTACAAAAACTCCACTCCTATATAGCTGCGTCTCCCTGTCTTTATGTTGTTGTTGTGTCACAGATTACATGTTTATATAGTGTATGCCCATTAGATTACATTATAATTATTGTTTTTTGCATCTGCCTTTTAAGTCATAAAGAAAACAAAGTTATAAATCAAAAACACAGTAATACTGGCTCTTATATTTACCTTTTAGTTAGTTTTACTGATGTTATTTTTTCTCCAATTTCAAGTTACTGTCTAGGGTTCTTTCAATCTGAATGACTTAGCACTTCTGGGGAGATCTACTAGTGACAAACTCCCTTAATTTTTGTTTATCTGGGAATCTCTTTATTTTTTTCATTATTTTTGAAGGTTAGTTTTGCAATATGTGGAATTCTTGATTGACATATTTTTCTTTCATTACTTTACAAATGTCATTTCAGTCCCTCCTGGCCTTTGTGCTTTCTGATGAAAAATCAGCTTTTATTCTTCCTGAGGATTCCTTTTAAGTGGTGACCTGCTTCTCCCTTGCTGTTTTGTAAGATTTCTCTGTCCTCGGTTTTTTTCAGTTTGATTATAGTATGTCTTAAATAATAATTTCTTGAGTTTACTCTACTTGGAATCTTTGAGCTTCTTAACATGTAGATTCATGTATTTCATCAAATTTGGGACATTTTCAAACATAATTTCTTCACATATGTTTTCTACCACTTTATCTCTCCTCTCTGCTGAAACTCCATAGTGTGTGTGTATATATTCCTCATGGTATTCCAGAGGTCACTTTATCTCTGTTCACTATTTCTTTTTAAAAAGAACAAAATGTTTATTGGTATACAGACATTTTGGGGGCCAAGAGACAGAGGTAAACACAAAAGCAAGCATCAGCTTCCATGGGTTTCAAAAATTGGAGAGGTGAGGAAAGCATCAGAAGTCAGAGTCTTCCCACCAGCAAACTCCTATGAGCCCTGTCTACAAACATGAATCCTATCTCTCTGGTTTGAACTGTCAAGATTTCTCCCAAAAGCCTGGCTTTACTAAAGCTCAAAAAGAAGCTTCTCATAGGGTCTTTTTTTTTTTTTTTATTTATTTGACAGAGAGAGACACCCCGAGAGAGGGAACACAAGCAGGGGGAGGGGCAGAGGGAGAAGCAGGCTTCCCGTGGAGCAGGGAGCCTGATGCTTTGCTCGATCCCAGGACTCTGGGATCATGACCGGAGCCGAAGGCAGATGCTTAACAACTGAGCCACCCAAGTGCCCCCTCATAAGGGTCTTTAAAGTTACCCAGCCAGGGCGCCTGGGTGGCTCAGTTGGTTAAGCGACTGCCTTCGGCTCCGGTCATGATCCTGGAGTCCCGGGATCGAGTCCCACATCAGGCTCCCTGCTCAGCAGAGAGTCTGCTTCTCCCTCTGACCCAACTCTCTCTCTCTCTCTCTCTCTCTCATTCTCTCAAATAAATAAATAAAATTTAAAAAAAAATATTAAAGTTATGGAGCCAGGCATCAAACTGGTTATTAAGTCTTTAGTTTCATTGTTTTACTTCCTGCTTTTTATTTTGTTATTTTGTTTTATTATTGTTATGTTAATCAGCATACATTATATCATTAGTTTTTGATGTAATGTTCCATGATTCATTGTTTGCATATAACACCCAGTGCTCCATGCAATATGTGCCCTCTTTAATACCCATCACCAGGCTAACCCACCCCCCCACCCCCCTCCCCTCTAGCACCCTCAGTTTGTTTCTCAGAGTCCATAGTCTCTCATGGTTCGTCTCCCCCTCCGATTTCTCCCCCCTTCATTTTTCCCTTCCTGCTATCTTCTTCTATTTTTTTTTTAACATAATGTATTACTTGTTTCAGAGGTACAGGTCTGTGATTCAGCAGTCTTATACACAATTCACAGCGCTCACCATAGCACATACCCTCCCCAATGTCTTATCACCCAGCCACCCCGTCCCTCCCACCCCCCACCACTCCAGGAACCCTCAGTTTGTTTCCTGAGATTAAGAATTCCTCATATCAGTGAGGTCATATGATACATGTCTTTCTCTGATTGACTTATTTCCATAATCATGATATCCTCCACTTCTATCCACGCTGTTGCAAATGGCAAGATTTCATTCCTTTTGATGGCTGCATAATATTCTATTGTATATATACACCACGTCTTCTTTATCCATTCATCTGTCGATGGACATCTTGGCTCTTTCCATAGTTTAGCTATTGTGGACATTGCTGCTATAAATATTGGGGTGCACGTACCTACATTTGTATCTTTGTGGTAAATACCCAGTAGTGCAATTGCTGGGTTGTATGGTAGCTCTATCTTCAGCTTTTTTGAGGACCCTCCATACTGTTTTCCAGAGTGGCTGCACCAGCTTGCATTCCCACCAACAGTGTAGGAGGGTTCCCCTTTATCCACATCCCCACCAACATCTGTCGTTTCCTGATTGTTAATTTTAGCCATTCTGACTGATGTGAGGTGGTATCTCATTGAGGTTTTGATTTGGATTTCCCTGATGCTGAGCGGTGTTGAGCACTTTTTCATGTGTCTGTTGGCCATTTGGATGTCTTTGGAAAAATATCTGTTCATGTCTTCTGCCCATTTCTTGATTGGATCATTTGTTCTTTGGGTGTTGAGTTTGGTAAGTTCTTTATAGATTTTGGATACTAGCCCTTTATCTGATATGTCATTTGCAAATTTCTTCTCCCATTCTGTCAGTTGTCTTTTGGTTTTCTTGACTTTCCTTTGCTGTGCAAAAGCTTTTTATCTTGATGAAGTCCCAGTAGTTCATTTTTGCCCTTGTTTCCCTTGCCTTTGGCGATGTTTCTAGGAAGAAGTTGCAGCGGCT